TGTGTGTGTGTGTGTGTGTGTGTGTGTGTGTGTGTGTGTGTGTGTGTGTGTGTGTATTCATATTTCTTTGTATGTGAGTGCAGACTCACTTAAGCATCCACATCAGAGGACAATTTTGGGTGTTGATCCTCATCTTCCTCTGTGTATGGAGACAGGGTGCCTCTGCATCACTGTCTCTGATTCTCTCCTGCCCCCCCAATCTCTTCTCTCTCCCTCTCCCCTCTCTTCATTGATGCTGTTCACTACTGTCAGAACAATAGCTAGCTCACAAGTTTCTGGGGATTCAGGACTCCTAGTGGGAGCCCAGCACTGAGACCCGGTTTACAGGGACCGGCGGTGGCGAAGGCGAATTCAAACTCAACTTGCACCACAAACATTTTACCCACTGATTCATCTCTGCAGCCTTCACCAATGGGACGGCAGGCACCCACTCACCGGGATGAGGACACCCCGGGCATCTCTGCAGTCACACTGAGTTCTGAGCACACACTTGTCATTATGTAGCACGTAGTCAGGTTGGCAGACGCAGCCCTCCTTACAGGTGGAGGGGACTTTAAGGCTGGTGCCCTCACAGTGTCCCTCTGGGTCCGAGCAGGAAGGCTGACAGGAGGGAAGGCAGGCGGTGTAGTGGGTGTGGTCTGGGCACTGCAGAGCTGCGGGGAGGAGGAGGAGAGGTTAGTGGAGAGAACAGAGGGGTCCAGTGAAGCAGACGCTGTAAAGACCCAGCTGGACAGAACTGGCCGCAGAGCCTCCCTGCCCCATTTTGTCATTCACTCAGCAAACATTTACGGAGCATGCCCGTGTGCCGAGAACCGCGGAAAGAAGTAAGTAGACTGGATGTCTCAGCCAGTGTGGAGACTAACCATCGGGAGACTAGCACTGAGGGGGACCCAGCCCAGCAGTAGGTCCCCAGAATCCCAACCTTAGGGCAGAGCACCAAGCTCCCACTTGTCCGGTCTCTGATTTGTCCAACCATGATGGCTACCGCCCCCATCCCCAGGGACGGCCCCCTTACTGATCTTGGCGCAGTGACTGCTGTCATCGTCACTGTCTTTGCAGTAGGTCCCTTGGGGACACTGGAAAGTCTGACACTGGACATCACCTCCCACGCAGGCACAGCTCTGGGTGCAGCCTCTGGAGGTCCAGGTCTTGCCTGGCTGCAGAAGCCAGGGAGTGAGAAAGAAGTGGAGACTGAGAGGGTGCTCTGGAGAGCCAGGCTTAGCCCCGTGCCTGAAGGGTGTCCACGTCTACGGTGGACAGGAGGAAGGCAGGAGGTGTGTTGCTGCGGGCCGGACACTGCCGAGCTGGGGAGTGGGCAGATTTCCACGTCCTTAGACACCCACTCTGATCCTTCTCACTAACCCAAGTATTTGCTAAGGACGAGAGTCCAGGGCTGAGGCTGATTAAGTGGTAGAGAGCCTGTGTGGAATCCTCTAGTGGGAGCTACTGCATGGGTCTCTTAGAGCACTGGTCTACAGGGTGTCGGGCCCTGAGCAGTCTCCTCCCTCCAGGGCCAGTCTTTGAGAATGGGGCATCCCAGGCTGAGAGAGGCAGCTCAAAGGAGAAAACAGCCCTCAGTCCCACCCTCCATGCCCACTCACTGGAATGAGGTCACCCCTGGTATCTTTGCAGCCACACTGGATTCTGGGTATACACTTGTCCTCGTTGAGCACAAAGCCGTGATCGCAGACGCAGCCCTCCTTGCAGCTGGAGGGGGCTTTGGTGCTGACGTCCTCACAGTGGCCATCCGGGTTGGAGCAGGAAGGTGGACAGGGGGGGAGGCAGGCTGTGAACTGGCTGTGGGCCGGGCACTGCAGAGCTGCCGTGTGGAGGGAGAGGGGGGTCAGTGGAGAGGCCCTGGGGCGGGGAGGTCCTAGGAAGCCATGTCAGGGAAACTGTGGTAGCCTGAATTACAGGTTGGTTTGGGCTCCTTTCCCCCTTTGTTACTCAGTCAATAGACATTTTTAGGCTGTTGCCAAGCCATGAGGAAATAAGAAAGATGGATGTCCCAAGTCAATGTAGGAGGCTAACCACAGAGCCACTAACACTGAGAGGAGACTCAGACCAGCCACTGGTGTCCAGAAGCCCTCCGCACTGTGGTAGCGCCTATCCCCACCTCTAAGGCCCAAGGTCCTTCCTGCCTGCCCCGGGTTCCCCAGCCGTGAGCACACCCTCCCTGCTCTCTCGGGGCTCCCTTACTGATCTTGGTGCAGTTACTGCTGCCGTCAGCCATGTTCTTGCAGAAAGTCCCCGAGGGACACTGCATATTCCTGCAGTGGATTGTCCCTGCTACACAGGTACACCTCTGGGTGCAGCCTCTGGAGGTCCAGGTCTTGTCTGGCTGCAGATGCCATGGGAAGAGAAGACACCTGAGGACCACGGACTAGTTCTAAAGAGACAGCCTCACTTCCTGTCTAAAGATTCTTAACTGCCTTTTCTATCTGATGGTTCCTCATCCATTGATTCAACACAATAGATTAAATATATATTTAATTGCAGCTGGGTCTGTGTCTATAGCCTAGCAGTATAGTATCTACTTAAAATTTACCAGTGGAGTAATGAGGGCATGGAGAAACAGTGGAAGGCATGTCTAGAATTCCCAGTGAAGGCCTTGGGGTGTGGCTCAGTGGTAGACTATTTCCTAGTCTGCACCAGGACCTGATCAATCTTCTCACTACAAGGCCAGCCAAACAGGTAGAATCATTTTGGGGGGGGGAGCAGAAAGGAGAAGGCCCCCACCCAAGGCCACTTTGAAAAAGTTCTGTGTTTACATGTGGTGTGTGTGTGTGTGTGTGTGTGTGTGTGTGTACAATCTCAGGTGTCGGTCCTCACATTCCACCTTGTATTGAGACAAAGTCTTGTCTGTCTGTCTGTCCTCCTCTTTGGTGGTGTTGAACACTTCTAACCCATACAAGACTAGCTGCAAGTTTCAGGGATTCTTCTGTCTCCACCTCCTGTTTCCTGAGTCCTGGGATTAGAGGCACAGGCTACATGGCCAGTGTACTTGGGTTGTGGGATGAAAACACAGGTCTTCGTACTTTCTGAGCAGATATTCTACCCAGTCAGCCCTCCCACTAGCCCCGCCAGGCCCAGTCTCCACACACACTCACCGGGATGAGAGCGCCCTGGGCATCTCTGCAGCTACACAGAGTTCTGAGCATACACTTGTCATCCTGCAGCACAAAGCCAGCTCGACAGACGCAGCCCTCCTTGCAGGTGGAGGGGACTTTAGGGCTGGTGCCCCCACAGAGCCCCTGTGGGTCCGAGCACGTGGGTGGGCAGGGGGGCAGGCAGCTGGTGTAGCGGCTGCGGGCCGGGCACTGCAGAGCTGGGGGAGAGGGGGAGTGAAATTAGTAGAGAGGTCCAGAAGAGTCCAAGGAGGCACAGGAACCACGCTGGGCTGAAAGACCAACAGTCTGTCTGTCTGTCTGTTTGGTTTTCCTTTTGCTATTGATTCAACAAATATTTACTGATCATGAACTGTGTGTCAGGGACAGAAAGAAAAGTTCAGAAGGTGGATATGGGGCTGGAGAGATGGCTCAGTGGTTAAGAGCACTTGCTGGTCTTGCAGAGGACCTGAGTTTCGTTCCCAGTACCCACAACCACCTGTAAACTCCAGCTCCAGGAGACCTAACAGCCTCTTCCGACCCCTGACAGCACCCATCTGCATGCATATGGAATATATACACATAGACATGTGTAAATAAACATAAAAAGAAATACATTTAATTTAATTTAAAGATGATGTATCTTTAAGTTAAATGTGGGAGACTGATCACTGATAGACTAGTACTGACCAGCCCAGCATGGTGAGCACGCCCCCGTTCCCTTACTGATCTTGGTGCAGCGACTGTCGTCGTCCTCACTGTCCTTGCAGTAGGTCCCCGAGGGACACTGGAAAGTCCTGCACTGGATGACCCCTCCCACGCAGTCACAACTCTGAGCACAGCCTCTGGTGATCCAGGTCTTGCCTTCCTGTGGAGGGCACGGGAAGAGAAGGCAAGTGGCAGCAAGGTGCTGGCTCTGGGTGGTCCTTGCCTCCTGAGAAGAGCGTGCTGTGTGCTCTCAGCACGTTCTACCCCAGCTGGCCACAACAAACACGGATGCAAGGAGTTCACGGGGGAAGACACACCGTGGCTGTGAGCACATCTCAGTCAGCAAGGGGATGGCCTGTTGCTCACTGGTAGAGCTGAGGCCTAGACTCCTTCAATGGGAGCCTGGGACTGTAGCTCAAATGCAGAACCTTTTACCTAGAATCCTTTAAGAGTAGCTGGGGGCATGGCTCAGTAGTAGAGCAACCGAGTCATCACTGTGGGACTGGGAGCATTGCTGTCTTAGAGCCTCTGACCAGGATTCTCTAGGAGGGGCTCATGGCTCAGCAGCAGAGCACCTGCCTTGCATGTTCTAGGAAAGACCAACTTTCAAACTACAGGACCAGCTGTGGAGTTAGGCGTGTCCCAGATGGAGAGAAGCAGAAGAAAGGAGAAAATGACCCCCCAGGCCACTGAGAGTGTATCTGTGTGGCCATGTGGGTGTGGACACATGTATGCGTGGGGGTCAGAGGATGACCTCACGTGTTGGTCTCACTTCCCACTTTGTATGGTATTCAGCAGTCCGTCCCGCCCCCCGCCCCCAATGCTGTGACTCTGTTCATCACTACTCACACAAGGACAGCTAGCTCACAAGCATCCTCTCCCTCTGTCCCATCTCCTAGAAAGAGCCCCGGGATATGGACACATACCACCAAGGCTTACATTGGTGATACAGTTCAAACTCAGGTCCTCAAACTAGGTGGAGCGGAGAGACCAACATTTACCTGCTGAGCTCTCTCTCCAGCCCAGACCAACCCCACTTTCGATGTCCACTCACCGGGATGAGAGCACCCTGAGCATCTTGGCAGCCACAATGACTTTTGGGTACACACTTGTCGTCTTGCAGCACATAGCCAGATTGACAGACGCAGCCCTCCTTGCAGGTGGAGGAGGCTTTAGTGCTGGGGCCCTCACAGTGGGCATTCATATTAGAGCAGGAAGGCTGGCAGGAGGGCAGGCAGGCGGTGAAGTAGCTGTTGGCCGGGCAGTGCAGAGCTATGGGGAAGAGAGAGCTTGGTTAGGGGACAGGAACACAAATGGCCAACACAAGCTGAGGCTACAGGAACCATATTGGCATGCTAGAGAGCAGACGGCTCTTTTCCTTTGGCTACATCCATTCATCAAACAGTTAGTGACTGTGAACTTAGTGCCAAGCCTCAGCAAAGGAAGACTGGATCACTGGGGCTGGAGAGATGGCTCAGCGGTCAGGAGCACATGCGTTCTTGCAGAGGAGCTGAGCTGGGTTCACCTCACCCAGATAGTGCTGCTCACAGTCTCCTGGAATTTCAGCTCCAGGGGACCCAACACACTCTTCCTGCTGCCATGCGCAGTATACTCATGTGACATACCCACAGACATATATTAATAGGTGTAATTAAAAGTAACAAGGTAAAGACGAACAAATATCCCAACTTAATGTGGGGGGCTAACCACTGAGACACTAACCATGAGAAGAGACCCAGCTGAGCCAGGGATCCTCCAAAGCCCTCCTCACCAATGCATTTCCTATCTCTGACCTCTGAGACCTGGGGGACTAAGCTCCATCTTGCCCTGCCTCTGGGCTCTCCAGCCACATGCGGCTCCCTTACTGATTTTGGTGCAGTTACTGTTGCCATCCTCCATGTCCTTGCAGTAAGT